GAGAGAAAGAATAAGAAGGGAAGAGACGGGATTGGGAGGAAGATAGATGGATGGCTACCCCTTGGTTCTTTAGGGTGGGATGTATGGGAGGCTAGCTTGCAGAGATCTCTGAAGCTCAGCAGCTGTGGGGAGCAGTTAAGTGCAAATCAGCCTTAGGAGTTCTGTTGAGCCTAAAACTTTGGGTCCGGTAATTCTTTTGGCAAGGGTGATGTTCACGGTGTGACTGGTGCTCCGTTAATAATCCTTTACCATTCTCAGGAGCTCATCTCGAGGTCTCCTTTTCTAACATCAGAGTTGGAGGCTGAACTGTATTAGGATGATTGTGCAAAGTGCAAATTGATGAAACCTCTCGGCTTTTCCAGGTACATTACACAACGCTTCCTTCTCTCAAATGTTGTGGCGCTGTGTGCAAGTGGGAAAGATCTGAGTCCCCGTGATGCTTTTTGACTCCAGAGATAATTACTTGGGGTAGCTATCCTGACGATGGCTCACATGGGGGCCCTGCCTTGCAGTGCAGAGCTGTCTCTAACCATCCTGTCATGATGATTATCCAACCTCTGGAATTATAACAATAGATTTTACCAAGTTAGAGCATAATTGCTCCACTAGTTCCTATGTGAGCACAGTTTAAACAGCTCTGATCTTTCAAATGATGTCGGGCTTTTATTATTCATCTTCTGTAACAGTGGCTCTGAACAGCCCTCCTCCCTGCCCCCTTTAATCACAGTGAGGCTTTGATTTGTTGAAGCAATTCACCTGTTAGAGACAAAAGGGTTGAAGTTGGGTGGAGAGGAAAGAGTGCAGACCTGTGATGTTAAATCCCAGCTCTCCCACCTACAAGACTCGCGGCCTGGAGAGGGTTTCTAACCTCTCTGAGATAGCTTCCTCATCTGAAAATACCCCTCTGCATGAGTCACTGTATTAGAAATGAACATGAAGCACCTAACTTATAGAAAATCAATTAAACTGTATTCTGTCACTCCATCGTCATCACCACCACCATCATCACTACCATCAATTATCTGGCTTCAAAGACTGTGGAGTTTGGGGTCTTTGGGTTTGGCTGTGTTCATTTGACATGTGAATTTGTTTGGAGTTGATCATCAGGGATGCGGTATTTTCACTAAATTAAGGATGGAGCTTTGCAAGAAATGCCTGGGCACCGTTTTGTGCTGAGCAAGTCCTAATGAGTTGCCTTCGCCTCTCGGTGACCTTAGCATTTAGTGTGCATTTGAGTGTGATTCCCAACTTCCTTGTCCCCTCTAGTCTAAATGTAAAAGAGCTGGAATAGCCTGGGACTTAGCATCTTTAGAAATATGTTTGGTGATTTTGAGGCAAGTGGTTTATGGACTGTTTTATATTTCCCTCTTCCCCTAATTGAGAAATGCATGTATCTATGGTTTATAAACAGCAGCAAAACCTTTGCTTCTGGATGGCCCAGCTCCAATGGCCACACCAACTAAGCAGGCCTGATTTGCTTGGGAAGGAGAGAAGTGACCGCTGCTGAGCCCTTGACCATCTCAGTGTCCGGGCTTGAGTGTCTCTACCCCCATCTCCTCAATGTCACCTATATCTTTGCATCTAGCACCAGTCAGTCACCCGCCATCTGACTCTATCTTAGTGAGCTAAGGCTGATGTCTGCTGGGCACTAGCTCATCCAGGAGTCCCTGGAATGATCAATGAGCCAGGCAGAGGGACAGCCAGGCAGCAGGGCCCTCCTCTGAGCGCCATGAATCAGCTGCCGCTGCCCAGGCCCAGTCCCTTCTCCTTGGAGCAGGAGGCATTGAGCTAAGCACAGTCAGGCTGACTCGTATCCGGCTAATGGCTTTTCTGTGTCATGCATTGTCCTTGATCCTGTATATTTTTCATATGTGAGTGGGTTGGAGCTCCTGAAGACCATTCAGTGGTAAACATGTCCCTTCTGCCAAATCTCCCACTAAAGTCCTCGACAGAATTTTGGTTTAGGGGGTAACTACTTCAGAAGCAGTTACTCCCTTAAAAAAAAATTGAGGCGAAAAATCACATAACATAAAGTTAATCATTTTAAAGTCAATTTAGTGGCATTTAATCTATAACAATGTGCAGTCACCACCTCCATCCGGATCCAAAATACTTTCATCATCCTAAAAGGAACCTCATCCCATACCCACTGTATTAGTTTGCGTGGGCTGCTGTAACAAAGCACCACAACTGGGTGGCTTCAACCAGAATCTTATCATCTCACAGTTGTGGATGCCGGCAGTCCAAGATCAAGGTGTCAGCTGGTAAGGTGGGTTCCTAGCAGACGGCCGTCTTCTCCCTGCAGTGATTCGCCTCATCTTTCTATGTGTGTCTGTGTTCAACTTACCCTTTTGTATAAGGACATGAGTCCCATTGGATTAGTGCCTACTCTGAAGTCCTCATTCCTTTTTTAGCTGAATAATATTCCACTGTAGTTTAATACTTCTTTTTGGAACACCAAGTACATAGCAATGAAATCTTAGCTCCAGTGAAATCTTAGCTCCCTGAGCAGTGAATTATTCTGTTTTAGGCTTGTGTGCCCCTCTGCATAAGGTAGACTGTTGATCTCGTGGATATAGCACACAGATCTTATTCTGGAAGCTTTTTCTTACTGTCTTCCTCCTCGAAAGAGTGTTAAGTCTTTGTGAGCATAAGTAAGAGTAAGGACTTATTAAGGGGAAGCCAAGTCATGTTTCTGATCCCAGAAATTGTTTTAAAAATAGATTTTACCTTTGATTTTTTTTTCTCTCTCCTCTTCCTGCTTTTATCCTCACAACTCTCTCTCATCCCAAGCACCCAAAAAGTATTTTAAAAGAAGAGGGTAAAGGGGGGAGGGAGGTAAATAGTGACGAGAGGAGACTTGACCTGGGGTAGTGAACACACAATACACTATACAAATGATGTATTATAGAATTGTACACTTGATGCTGAACCGATTTTGGCTCAGTGGATAGAGCGTCGGCCTTCGGACTGAAAGGTCCCAGGTTCGATTCCGGTCAAGGGCATGTACCTTGGTTGCGGGCACATCCCCAGTAGGGGTTGTGCAGGAGGCAGCTGATCAGTTTCTAACTCTCTATCCCTCTCCCTTTTTCTCTGTAAAAAAAAATCAATAAAATATATATTTTTAAGAAAAGAATTGTACACTTGAAACCCCATGTAATTTTATTAACCAATGTCCACTGCAACAAATTCACTAAAAAAAATTTTTTTTTTAATGACAATGATTTCTACACTTTAACAAAGAATTTCTACTGAAAAAAAAATACAACACAAAGGCAATACCCGCCCCAAACAATACATGTTGACTAGACATAGAATAGCAATTTAATTATAGCCAAAACAGAAGTCACCTTTGTCTATCAATGCAGACATTATAAAGCAAAACATTTGTCCACCATATAACTAGCAGTGTCACAGTATCTTCCATTGTTTGTTTTATGACTTTAAAAAATATTCTTTTTAAAGGGCATTTTAAATGCCGACCATCCTAGGAAGGGGCGTGGCACAGACAGGGAGCACTACCCTTTGAGAAGACCCAGCTGCCTTCTGCTCTCATTGTCATGGTTACTGGGCCTGGTCCCTCGGGCTGGCATCAGACCAGGGCCTTTCAGATTCTCTTCACACTCCCCTCCCTGCACCGGCCTCAGAGTGAGAGCGGGGTCTCTCAGCTTTGGAACCGATTGCACTGCTGACATTTCACCTGCCTCCATAATTTAAAATCTCTTTCTCTCATGCATGTAGCCAGGAGACCTGCATCCTTGCTGGCCTGGGATCAACCCAGAACTGTCACTAGCTTGCTGCAGACACAGGACCCCTCCCCCCATCCCATCCCATCCAACAACTGTGTGCTGTTTCACCCCAAAGGACCACAGCAGGTGGCATTGTCCTGTCTCCTGACTCTTAATTCCCTCCTTCCTTTCTATCTCTTTTTCTCTATTTTTAAAAATATATCGTCATTGATTTCAGAGAGGAAGGGAAAGGGAGAGAGAAACATCAATGACAAGAGAGAATCATAGATCAGCTGCCTATTGCATGTCCCCCACTGGGGATCAAGCCTGCAACCCAACCATGTGCCCTGACTGGGAAATCGAACCGTGACCTCCTGGTTCATAGGTCGATGCTTAACCCCTGAACCACGCCGGCCAGGTTCTATCTTTTTTCTTCTTCATCAAATTAGTTTTGCCACCCTGGAAGTTCACTGGGTAAAGAAATGCCTGCCGGCCACCGGATTTTCAGAGAGCCAGGAAAGTGAGGGAACAGCTTGAAAAAAAGGACAGAAGAGAAATTGTCCATATTCTGTGTTATTCCATATTATCATCTTCATGTAAGCACAGGTGGCTTCTGGGGCCCCAGGCTGGAAGGCTCCACACTGTTAATGGAATTGGATGTAAGTAGTTAAAAGATGTAATTTTCCTCATTGGGGAGCAGCCTTTAGAACACAGGTTTCCCTCTGGGGGGCCTGGGCATCTGGAGTTTTGAAGAGCTTCCAGGTGCTTCTAATGTCCAGCCACCTTTGAGAACTGCTGGTCCCGGGGCAGAGCCCTCCAGGAGAGTTTGAACCCTTTAGAGGAGGTGATGGAGGAGACAGGTGATATCTAATCCTCTTGTGCCCAGCAATGCAGTTAATTAAGCAAAAAGAAAGGACAGACGGAACACACTCTGGCCTGTATTTTGCTGATAAAAATAGGACTTTAGCTCCACTTAACCCTGCAGGGCCCGATGGGAAGGGAGATTCCCACGCCCTCGTCTCCCTGCTGCTACCCGTGCCTTGGTGGGCTGCCAACCCCAAGGTGATTGCCAACGTGATGCAAACTGTTCACAGGAACATGTCGTTTCTGCCTTCTGCTCACCACTTGCTCTCCTCGCTCCCCAGGAGAAGGAACACCAGGCCATGTGGCTGCTCTCTTTCTTGAGCAGAAAGTGCTGTTAGCTGTTTGATGGCGGAGCGGGAGTGTTTTCGAAGGGCGCATGGGGCTGACCTCCGTCTCTGTGTTTTGCAGTACAAAATTGGACAGCTGTACATGATCAGCAAGCACAGCCATGAGCAGAGTGACCGAGGGGAAGGGGTAGAAGTCGTCCAGAATGAGCCCTTTGAAGATCCTCACCATGGCAACGGACAGTTCACAGAGAAGCGTGTGTATCTCAACAGGTGAGTGGTGGCCGCTGGTGTCCTGCCTCTGGGCCCTCACCACCCAGGAGCCCCTCTCACTTGACCCCACAGCACCTGAGGTCAAGGTGGGATTGGGATAAAAAGGCAGCTTCAAAGTTGTTAGGTCAGCCTTCTGCATCCACCAGGGTAGTTGCTTCCAATAACAGAATCCTCTGTGTTCTGCAAAATAGTTCTCAACCGCATTTCATCAAGAGGAGCTTTCCTTTTACCTTTCCCATGCGTTAAGGGGCAGGTTAGGTTGAAATCTGATCTTAAGGATTAAAGGACTGTCTTCTCCTTTGGTTCAGAGTTAGCAGTAGGAGTAGTTGGCTTTGCCTGCAAGGTGGTGTAGAGAAGTGTTGAAGGTAGCCTAAGTAAGTGTCGACTCTAGTGAACCAGTGTGTACCAGTCTGGGCCTTGCTGCCATTTCCATGAGTACTCTTTATCCCATGAATACTCTCTGTCCCCACATGTGATTATTCAGAAAACATTTCTGACACAATAGTTGGATGTTGCCCTCGGTTTATTCCCTGACCCTTTGTCCGTGCTTTGACCATCGTTCAAGCCGAATTTGGACCCCACATGGCCTCCACGATCCAACAGGCTGAAGTCGACGAAGAAGGAGAGTTTGGGTCCTGTCACTAGGTGTGTGAAAATCTCTCCGTGAAGCCTTGGGCTGCTTAAAACAAGTGTTCTTTTTTTTTGTTTTGTTTTTGTTGTTAATTCTCACCCAAGGATATTTTTTAAAAATATTTTTTATTGCTTTCAGAGAGGAAAGGAAAGGGACAGAGATAGAAACATCAATGATGAGAGAGAATCATGCTTGGCTTCCCCCTGCACACCCTCTATTGCAACCCAGGCCAGGAATTGAAGCACAACCTCCTGTGTTATCGACCACTGGTATTTTTCCATTGATTTTTAAAGAGTAGAAGGAAAGGGGAGAGACAGAGAGAAACATTGATGTGAGAGTGAGATCCATTCATCGCCTCCCACATGAGGATTGAGCCTGCAACCAAGGCACATGCCCTTGACTGGAATCAAACCTGGGACCCTTCAGTCCACAGGCCAGTGTTCTATTCACCGAGCCAAACTGGCTAGAGTTAAAACCAACGTGTTTTAATCTGCTTGGAGATGCAATCCCAGGGATTTCCAAGTCATGGTGAAATGCAAATTAGACTGGTCCCATTCATCTTGGAGCTGTGAATTCCCAGGGTTTGGAACCAGTTCAGCCTCCAGCTAGCTGTTGATTGCAGGAGTAGCTGAGTCCTGAGTTTCCCCTGCGATGGCTTCCTTACAGAGAAAGGTTTCTAAACATGCTGCTTTGGCTTGTTAGTGCAGACGATATAATTCAAATGTGGAGCCCAGATTATCTCTGCAGAGCAAAGAGAAGTGAGGGAGATGTAAGAAAACAGGTACAGTTATTGCCTGGGGGATGTTCTGTATTGACCACATTCAAGAAGAAATTTTAGAAAGCTTGATGACTTTTACTGAAACAGAACAAGAAGTGTCCAGCTGTCTCTGTCATGGCTGTTTTCTCTATAAAAAATATGGTATTTATTTTAAAGGAGAAAAATAAACAGCAGTAAGAGGGAAATTTGTTATAAATAGAATATCTGGATTTCCAGGAATAGGTACCACGAAGATTAATGTGGACCTTCCTTCCCACCTCATATGACAAACACAGGATGAAATATAACAATATAAAGTGGAGTTCCAAACAAAGAAAGGGAAATCCTCAGGTACGAGAAATAAAGAGGAAACTCAAACCCGAACGGAAAGCAGATGAGCTAATGCTAAGGAAGCCGTAGGCGGCCAGAACTAAGTGAGGCCTGACATCTGAGAGATGCCACACCCATAGGGGACAGATGTGTGGCCTTGGCTCATGCACATGGGGAGGTGGAACTGAGACTTGTGCATAAAAATAATTTTTGAGCCTGGTTGATGTGACTCAGTGATTGAGCAGTGACCTATGAACTAGGAGATCACATTTCCATTCCCAGTTAGGGCACCTGCTGGGGTTTCAGGCTTGATCCCCAGTGTGGGGTATGCAGGAGCAGTCAATCAATGAGTCTCCCTTCATTGATGTTTCTATCTCTCTCTCCCTCTCCTTTTCTCTCTGAAATCAATTTTAAAAAAAATTGTTTTTGACAATAAAAAATAGAAAGATTACAGAGACTCATACTAAAAAAACTACTAAAGGATGTACTTTAAGTAAAAGGAAATTGAATCCAAGAAGGAAGGGGGGAGGGTCTAGAAGCAATAATAAACAAGAAGTTAATAAACATCTGGGAAACTTTTAATGAGCATAGAATGTTTAAAAAATATTAATGAGTAATTGTGGGTATGTTCATGGAATTTAAATAATAGACAGTAATAGCTGAAGATGAGAGCATAGTAATTATAGTAGAAACACTCTTAAGTTGGAAATATTATTTAGGAAGAAGGAGGGAATTGTTGATTTGTTTAAACTTTTTAAAGGCAACTGTGCATATTGGAAATGTAAAGGTAACCTCTGAAGAAGCTTTTCATTCTGTTGTTTATATCCTCTTGGTGTGTCTCAGTCTGTTAAACTGATATTATGCTAAAATCCCCCATTATAACTATAGGCTACTTTTGATTTTGTCAGTATTGCCATATATTTGTTGCTCTAGGTTGAAGTTTAGAATTTAACTCACATACCTTTACTGTGACCACTGATGTATTTTTACTTATCTTATCATCAAAATTTGTTTTCTACTTATGCTTTTTACAGGATTCTCTTTGTTCTTCCTCTGCTTCTCTTGAATTGATCAAGTTTTCTTTTGGAAGTTATATATAGTAATTCCAAGTATATACCTGCTTCTTCTTGAACATTGACTTACCAGACACTGAATAATTGCACAAATTAATAAGCGTAATGCAAATAAACCTATTTTTCTAGTTCTCCAAAAGTGAAATATTTCCTGTTGCGCACACCAAACAACTCAGTCCAAGACTAATGACATGGCAATTGGCTGCTAAAATATCCGCTGCTGGTATTAGTGGAGAGAAATCGTGCAACCTGCGCATAAGATGCATCAGGGAAATGAATGAAACATGATAATAGTAATCAGTCATTAGTGAACGGTGTAGTTCATTATTTATTAATAATTATGTAAAACAGGATATTGTAAAAATTAAGTTATGAAATTTTCATTAAAATGTTTTTTACATACTGTTATGTTGACTGGGCCAAAAAAATATTCACTGCGGACCATGAGTTTGACATGCTTGCTCTAAATGATCAGCAACACTTGTTATTGTCTGTCTTTTTGGTTATAGCTATCCTAGTGGGTGTGAAGTTGTATTTTGAGGTTTTAATGGGCATTTTATGTCCTTAATGCTTTTCATGTGCTCATCAGCCATTTATATGTCTTCTTTGGAAAAATGCTTATTGAAGTCCTTTGTCTTTTTCAATTTGGTAAAATGTCTTTTATAGGGGTCCTTTATCCCTTTATTACTTGCTTTCATCTCCCAGGGTTGCTCTAGCCTCTGGCCCTTCCTACAACATCTAATACAGTGTTGTGTGCGCAGTACATTTTGGCGGTTGCCTAATGCATTACATTAGTGCCGATACATTAGTGCATTTGGTGGTTGTCCTTAGATCCAGTTTAGTTAACCAAATAACTGTCTTAAAAAATCCTGGCATCCAGGGAAAGGAGGCAAGATACTCATCAAACTCTGGAATAGTGATTCTAAATCAGACCTGTAGCCTAGAATCACGTGAGGTGATTTTTTTATCCCTTTTTCTTTTCTTTTCATATTTAGCACCTCGCCAATCCCTTCCCATTGAGGAGTGGAAATTGGTGGGGGTAGGGGTGTCTTGGAGGAAAGATGAAGCCTATTTTAGGCTTGTTTTTCAGTCATGAAGTGACATGTTCTTCCCTACCACGGCTGCTGGATTAATTAGGCTGTGCTGGCAGCTGCCAGTCAGGGAGGGTTGCCAGCTTCCAACAGCGAGTCCGCCGAATGCCTCAATCAGTTTGCAGAGAGAATGTTTCTCTTGCTATGTGGCTCCTACCTTCCAGGGCATCCTCTTCTGGGTTCGAGCAGCTCTGGGTAGGAGAAGATACAGCTTCCGTAAGCCATGAATCCTGTTTAATAGGACAAGCAAAGCCACCAGCTGGTGGCCCTACCTACCAGCTCATCGGTAGAGCTTTGTGGCCATGGCTTGGATCTGTCTTTCACATTTCCTCTTCCTGCTCTCCCAGCTCTTCCCCAGAGTAAGAGACCAGTGTCCCGAGCTCATGCCATTTTGGGGGGGCCCACCACCTCTACAACAAGTTGTAGAAAAGTGTCAGTGCCAGAGATTCTGACCTCACGGCTTCTATCCATACTATTTTAAAATATATTTTATTGATATTTTTTTACAGAGCAAGGGAGAGACATAGAGAGCTAGAAACGTCTGTGAGAGAGAAACATCGACCAGCTGCCTCCTGCACACCCCCTACCGGGGATGCGCCCGCAACCTAGGTACATGCCCTTGACCGGAATCGAACCTGGGACCCCTCAGTCCGCTCTACCACTGAGCCAAACCGGTTTCGGCTATCCATACTATTTTTAAAGCCCCTCCGTGGTCATTCTTTGGCTTTTAGATATCCAGGTGCAATCTTCATTCATTCAGAAAATATTTATTGAGCATCTGCTGTGTGCCACATGCCAAGGTCCCATTCTAGGTCAGGACCGGCAGCTCTGAGCAGAACAAAGACCTCTGCCCTGGTGGGGCTAGCATTTAATCACAATATCTATAATCATTGCATACCTTGGAATACTTAATCTTCTATATAAATATATATTTAATATACTATTAGATAAATTATTCAATTAAGAATTTTTAAAATATATGTACTGGGACAATGAGAGCATGAAAGGGACTTCTTCCAGGCATACTTTTTAGTGCTGACTATTTTGTTCTGTCCCCACTTCAATTCTTAAGAACATGCCAGGCATTCGCAAAATGACAGCCCTCAGCTACTCCCATGGGAAATCACAGAAACAATGTTTAGGCTAATAATTAGGATCTTAGTGTCCAGTCCAGTGGTCTCCCATCTTCTTTCCTTTTTAAAAAAAAAAATGTTTATATTGATTTTGATAGAGAGAGAGGAAGGAAGAAGGAGAAAGAGATAGAAACATTGATGATAGGGGATCAACCCCACAACCTGCACATGTGCCCTGATCAGGAATCAAACCAGCGACTTATTGGTGCATGGGATGATGCTCAACCCAATGAGTCACGCCGGCCTGGCCATCTTCGTTCCTTGATGACTGATGTTGACACGTGGATTGTTCCTCTGGGTTCCCACAGCATGCTGGCCACATGTCCCTCACACTGTCCCAGCAAAGCCCTCTCAAGAATCTGTGCCAGATAGGCCTCTTCCGAGAATCCCCACATAAAGTGTCTCTTTTAGTTGGGAGAGCAGTGGTGGTATCCAGGAACTTCCCGTGAGGGAAGCCAGCAGCCCCGCCTCTTGCAGGGATGGCTCCAGCCTGGAAACTGTTCCTCTCTCTGCTGCCGTAGGAAGAATTACATTAAGAGCAGAACTAAAAGACCAGCCAGAAAAACCATTAGGAAGAGTACAGCCGCTGCAGAAGAAATATAGAGACCTCAGAAGTTACTGTATGTGGAATTGGATAGGAATAATTGATTATTATCCAAAAATTGCCAAATAGACCAGTGGGAAATGAGGACATGAAGGCAACTAGGTCCTTTTATTTTTTTTTTTTAAATGTGTTCTTATTGATTTCAGAGAAAGAAAGGGAGAGGAAGAGAGATAACATCAATGATCAGAGAAAATCATCAACCAGCTGCCTCCTACACGCCCCTACTGGGGATTGAATCCAGGCACTGGGAATCGAACCATGACCTCCTGGTTACTGGGTCGACACTCAACCGTTGAGACATACCGGCCAGGGCTGCAGCTAAGTCCTTTTAAAGTCGTTTAAGTGAGCTGCAGTCAGCACCAGTGGTTCTTCAGGTGCGCTCTGCCGGGGAACCTCCTGAGCAAAGCACTGTTTTGTGAACTCAGGAAGCCTGTCTTTCTGCTGGTAATGTTGACGTCCAAAATTTCCAGTTAAGACCATTGTAAATCTTGTCCTTGTTGATAAAATTAGATTAGATTCCATTTAGATCACATTTGACCTAATGATATTTAGAACCTCCCGGGGCCTAGTAATATTCTCCAGTGCACATTAATTGTGAAGTAAGATTATATGTCACGAAGAAACTTGGTGATAGTCTTTATTATAAAGTACCAGAAGCTGCTAATGGAGGGGGATGTTTATGTTTCAGTTCCATAAAATCTTTTTTTTTTTTTAATATATTTTATTGATTTTCACAGAGAGGTGGGGAGAGGGATAGAGAGTTAGAAACATTGATGAGAGAGAGAAACATCGATCAGCTTTCTCCTGCACACGCCCTACTGGGGATGTGCCCAAAACCAAGGTACATGCCCTTGACCGGAATCGAACCTGGGACCCCCTCAGTCCACACGCCGATTCTCTATCACTGAGCCAAACCAGTCAGGGCTAGTTCCATAAATTCTTTTCGAAGGAGGTAAACAATCTACCTGAGTGTTCGGATTATGCCTGCCTATGGGCCTTCTTCTCGGGTCAGTTGTGATCCAGGGAAACCTGGAGAATGTATGAAGGCTGCAGTGACTGTATTCACTCAGATCCTGGCTGGGTTTCTCAGTCTTGGCACTGTTCATATTGGAGCCAGAGAGTTCTTTGCTGTGGGCACATCCTGGGTCTCTATAAGGCAGCAGCATCCCTCCACCCACCCCTCTCAGTCATGATCACCAAAAATGTTTCCAGACTTTGTCCCTCCAGAGTGGGGGGCTGCAAAATCCCAACTCCCACCTGCCCTTGAGAATGACTGCTTTAGGATGACCTACCAGCCATCCCGGTTTGCCCTGGACTGAGGAATTTAGCCTGTGGGACTTCCAGCACTAAAACCAGGGCAGTCCATGCAAACTGGGAAGAGTTGGCCACCCAGCTGTGTCACTGATATGTTCTACATCATACTAAAGTTTCAAAGGAAGAAACCAAACGTCTTGAAAAGTCCGTCTTCCACAAAGGCCTTCGGGAAACCTGGTATCATTTCACAGCAGCACACTTTGCATTATGGTAAAGGCTTTAGGGACAAGCGCCCATCTCTCCCCTCAGTGTCTCTAAACCTGGGTCATGGCGAGAGGTGCCACAGGGAGCTTCGGTCCTGGCCAGCGGATCAGGAGGACATGCTTGGAACCATGCCGCCATTCTGGGAAGAGAGGATCTTGTTTGACACTTAGTAGTGCGCTTGAATGACAGACGTCTCCTTAGAACTGTAGGCGGTGTGACAGGATACATCGTGAAAGTGACAGCAACAGTGGGGACTAATTTAATTCCGTTTTTGCTTGCAGCCCTGATAAGTCATTACTGCAGGGGAAACTAAATTTTACTTTCTCAGACCAGGATGATTTGAATAATGATGTGCTCTAGGGAAATCAGGGTCTGAGAGAAAGTCTGCTCATGGGCTTAAAAATATTTAAACTGAAGTATCAGAGAACTCGATGCAGAGCCTCCTGCGCCTGGCCCGGTAAATGGCTCACCCCAGAAGGGCCTCCCTCCCACACTCATTAGAACAGTCGCATCAAATCATATGAACCATCTTGGCTGAAGGATTGTGTTTTTTAGGGTGTCTCATTGGAAAAGGCAATTGACTAGAGGGCTGTGTATCCTGCAAGAGCTCATGAATGAATCAGCTAAAATAGGATCCTAGACTCTGGAGTCCCGACCATTTACAAATGGGAACAGTTTCCATGTGAATGGAAAATCGCCAGTGTCTTTCATGTTCCTTCCAGAAAATGACTGCTGCTCGGGAATGTGCTTCTGCTGGGAGGCTTATTAAATGACACAGGGAACGAATTGGGTCTCAGAGGGGCATGCCTGAGGAGCATAATGGATCTGGGGAGGGGTGCGGTGTAGATGGAACACCAGCCCCAGTGCTGGGAGGGAGTCAGAGGTGCTTTGTCTACCTTAAACAATGCCTTGCCTACTTTGACACCCTGCAATCCTCTTGCCTGTGAGTAGAACCCACCCTTTCTACACTACTCATTGCCATATCACTCTGGAATTGGGGGCCAACAGGAGGAAACCCAGGGGAAGTTTTCCTTATGACCCACGCGGGACATCAGCCCTCGTTGTGCTCCCACTTCAAGGACTGAAAGAATAAACCACAGGCAGAAGCTATAAAAACGCCTGTCAGGAAGCAGCCTTCCTTTTGAGCAGTGTGAGTGTAAGGTAAATGAGCAGTTACCGCTGAGATGATTTTATAGGAGTGAGGAGTTCTGCTTTAGAGCAGCAAGAAGGATGGTTATGTGAGTTCTGAAGCGGCTCCGGCTCCCTCCCCACGGCCCACCTGAAGCAGTGGGCTTTGTTGCACTCATCTGGCTCAGGGGAGCTTTCATCTCCCCTTTGTTTTAACCCCGAGAAATGGCCCAGAGCCTTGGGTTAGATCCAACCGGCCAACCATTGAAAATACATATTTGTCTTTTAAAGAGCAGGTCCTGGATACTGTCAGAGAGAGGAGAAACAATTTGAGAAGACATACAAGGTACACAGTATTTTACTGGCCCTGGTTGTCATTAAATTCCACGTCCAGGAGGGATCAGGGATTTGGAAGCGTGATTCCCTCCCCTCGTTTCCTAACTATATCAGCTTGGAATTTAAATCTGCCTCGTGGTGTTCTTTATTGCCGACATGCAGCCCTGAGGAGCTGTGCGTCTGCACCATCTTACTGGTCTGATGTACTGCTAGACACCTGCGTCCCAGACACCTCGCTGCAGGCACCAGAATAGGAAAGACAGAAAACCCCAGGGAGTACTGCTGAGGGGAAATAAAATTGTGCTGGCATATTTAAGGAATATATAATACTGTATATTTAAATATAATATTTAAGGAATTCTCTAGGCCTGTCCTTTGCTGTGGAATTTGCCTCTGAAGGGAAACAAAACTTAATTAGCCCTTGGTTTACAAAAGGTGTTGGGAGCTGTGCATTTGGGTTTTCTTTGTTTAAAGAATCTTTTTTCTGTACATGCTTGCCTGGGTCCCTGCTCCAGAGGCACTGCTCTGTCGTATTTGTTTTGTAAGGCTGCAGCAGCAAATTGCCAAAACTGGGTGGCCAGAAACAATACAAATGTATCCTCTCCCTGTTCTAGAAGCCAGAAGTCTAAAACCCAGGCATCCGCAGGGCTAGTTCCTTCTGATGGCTCTGAGGGAAAATCGGTTCCCTGCCTCTCTTCTGACCCCCATGGGGTATGTGCGGCAGTCCTTGGCTTGCAGCTGCATCCCTCCATTCAGTCTCCACCTCCGTCTTCACAGGGCCTTCTCAAACCTAGGGAGACTTTGCCTTGCAAAAACTCTTATTTTCAAATAAGGTTAAATTCACAGGTTAGGATGTGGATATGACTCTGAGGGGAGACATAGTCAGCCCTATAGTCATGAAGGGGTTATGTTATGTTTCTCTTCACATTCTCTGAAGTTCTACTCTCTGTTGCTTTAGTCCACTTTCAAAAGACATGGCTCATTTGGATTGTTAAGCCAACTTCTGGCTCTAACATTTGTACCCCTATTCCCCCATATTCTCGTTTAAATATACCTTCATACTACTTCTCCCACCCTATCACTCCTAGAAGACAAAAACCAAACATAGCTCCTCCCAGCTACTGAATTCTCATGTCCTTGTAAGTCAGATCTAAGAGGACAGGCTTCCAGTCCTATGAGGTCCCCACACCGGGCTGTAACCTTCTGCCTTCACACATTCGGTTACCACCGAAAACCATAAACTGCCAGGACCAGAGGGATGGGGAGGGTGGCTGCGGAGGAAAGGCTGCCTCAGGACTCCTCTGCTCATCCAGAAAGACAGGGTAGCATACATAGCAAAGCACCGGACAGACTCTGATGGTCTTTTTTTGCTTTCTTTCTTTCCTCTTAGCAAACTGCCTAGTTGGGCCAGAGCTGTTGTTCCCAAAATATTTTATGTTACAGAGAAGGCTTGGAACTATTATCCCTACACAATTACAGGTAAGTCCTTTGTGCAGCCAGTATGTTACATGTAGCACTAAACATAACATGGTCAGATTTCACTGATTTCAGGTGTGTTATCCCAGCAGAGACTTGTGGGAGACTCTTACTGTCTTTTAAAGTCTTCACTTTTCCCAGTGGGGGTGTTAAGCTAAGCAGTGGGGGTGTTAAGCTAAGCCATTTCACTTTCCTTCTTAAAGTGATTTCTCAAGTAATTTCAGGGTGTGGTTTGTTTTGACTTGTTTGCTTTACAGTACCCCAGCTCCACCCCCCAAAGAACACCTTGGCTATTACTTATGTAAAAGAGACTGTCGGGTCTCTCTGTCCTAAACTACAGCATAGGACATATCTTTGCTGATACTGAACTAGAAACTGTGGCCAGAAAATTTAGAAGGTTTAGTTCCTGCCCTCAAACACATGAAAATTCCAGATCCCATTTGAATATCATCATAACATATTGGTTCTTAAAGCTGCCTTTCCACTTAAAAGATTTCCTGTGTGGTTAATAAATTGCTCTACTGGAATTATTAGTCTTTAATTTTGCTTTTATAATGCCAACTCTTTGGTTTTTAATTAGCCACAAACACGTAGGCTAATTGAATTGTCTTACGGTCCTTATCAGACCAACACCCAAGTGCCATATGAAAGAATTTTAAGACCAAACATGGAAGCATTTAATATTTCTAAAAGTTTAATTTTTGGAAGGCTTCTTTACCACATTTTTAATAATTATAATGCACTAGTATATATGTTAGTTCTGTGGTTTTCTATTGCATGTAAGTGTGGTCTAAATCACCATTTTTTTTCTCTCCCCCCCCCCCCCCGCCCCCTGCTTCCAAATGAACATCTGGAACCAGAATACACAGTAAGTTTTATTTAATCATTTTGAAATATTCAGCATATAATCAGTAGATTAATTGGAACTGCCCTTGTATTTCTCATCTTACCAATTTAATAAAAATATAGAGGAATAATTCAGCAGAAATATTTAAATGTTGGCCATTACATAGTTATATGTAATGCAAGAACCCTACTGTTCTCATTTGTTCCAGAATATGAATGTTAATTTAAAATGCCTTGAGAGTTACTTTGCATAATTAACTTTGCTTGCATTTTTAAATAGCTTGGCTGTTCTACTTGTGATAGCTCACTATAACAGAAGAACAGTTTCTAGAAACATGGTATTAAAGAGATGATGTTTGTTATTAATGGAAGGTAGGGTTTATACCTAAAAGCGGTGGCCTTATCCCTTACAGGAGAACCTTGAAACCAGAAAGATGTACATTCAAACTATTTTACTCAGGGCTCTGGATTGGTCAGTCTCCAGCAGCTTGATAAAAACCATTTAATTTCTTATTCTAAAAACCTCTAGAGCCGTTATTTCCTTTAAAAAATAAAAAAAGGACCCTATAACACATTGTGTTGTAGTATTTTCTTTGTATCATTTCCCCTGTGGCCAACAGATCAGACTGTCATAACAAGAAAATGGTTAACTGAACTGTGATGGAGTTGAGTTATTGTTTTTTTTGTGGGGGTTTTTGTAATCCTACCCCGAAGATATTTTTTCCATTGATTTTTTTTTTTTTTGAGAGAGTGTAAGAGAGGGAGGGGAGCCAAAACCGGTTTGGCTCAGCGGTAGAGCATCGGTCTGGGGACTGAAAGGTCCCAGGTTCGATTCTGGTCAAGGGCATGTACATTGGTTGCGGGCACATCCCCGTTTGGGGGGGGGGGGGGGGGGTGTGCAGGAGGCAACTGGTTGATGTTTCTCTCTCATCGACATTTCTAGCTCTCTATCCTTCTCCCTTCCTCTCTGTAAGAAAAATCAATAAAATATATTTTTTTTTAAAAAGGAAGAAAGAAAGAAAGAAAGAAAGAAAGAAAGAAAGAAAGAAAGAAAGAAAGACAGACAGGGAGGGGAGAGAGAGAGAGAGAGAGAGAGAGAGAAAGAGAGAGAGAGAGAGATGTGAGAAAGACATATTGATTAGTTGTCTCACACACATACCCTGACCAAGCCTGGGATTGAACCTGCAACCCAGGTATGGGCCCTTGAGTAGGGGGGAGGGTCTTAGTCTGCTTGAGATGCATAACAAAATACCACAAACTGGGTGGCTTAAACAACAGACATGTGTTTCTCACATTCTGGAGGCTAGAAGTTTAAAATCAAGGTATTGGCTACTTTGATTCCTGGTGAGGGCCCTCTTCCTGATTTGCCAAAAGCCACCTTCTTGCTGTGAGAGAGAGAGAAAGCAAGCATCCTGTTCTATTGCTATAAGGGCACTTATCCCATCATGAGGGCCCCACTCTCCTGACCTCATCTAAACCTCACCTCCCATAAGCCCCATTTCCAAATATCATCACATTGAGGGCTGGGCTTCCACATGAATTTGAGAGTAGACCCACAATTCTTATATACCATGCTCATTCCAGGCCCAGTAGCTTACGTGATGTCACTGGATCCTGGCCCCCTGGACACATGGAGGCCAGAACAGGGCAGCTCTGAATGTCAGGTCAAGGTCCACATCTCATTCTCCACAGGGAAACAGCCTATCCACTTTTGTTTTCTATTCCAAATATAGGACAGCTTTCTTTCTCATTCCAGTGGCTGGGGGAGTCTGGGCTTCTCTCTCTCTGGCTGCAGGTGCAGTGACTCCCGCTCAGCTGTGTCCACAGGGTCTGCCCCCCAGGATTTACAGCAGATGCTTTCTATTGTCTTCATCTTTTTTCCTGTTTTAAATGTTTTTTCACTGGGCTCTTTATCCCCTGAACCTTTAATCCTAAATAGCTCTTCTTGATGTCATTTCAAGCTTTATATTTCCTGTCTGTGCCCCAAAGCACAACTTCCCTGATGTCAGACTCCCAATTTGGGTCACCAAGCCCTACCCCTCCCTCAGGGAAGCCAGAGTGGTGTCTTTTTTCATAGGATTAGTCCAGAGCAATGTTGTCTATGCCTAGGCTCCCCTCGGTCTTGTATCTGACCCTCCAGCCTACTACTGAGACCTCATGCTGCCCTCATTTGTGACAAAACCCAGCCGCGAGAACTTTCTGTTTAGGGTCATCATCTAGGGTTTCCACATGATCACAGTTATAAAGACGTTGAAGCTTTTTCATCATGGTGAGTGACTGCATGTGCCTAGGGTTATGTGGAAATGTGATTTGCCCAGGAAATGGAAAAATATATCTTTAGCTTGGTTGTAGGGGGGGGGAAAAAAATCTTAATTATATAATAAACAAAGAACTACACAACGACAATTCTCCAGAGGACAGGCCATCTAAGAGTCCTTCCGACCTGCTGGTCCTTCTGAAGTTTGAAAAGTCACAAAGGAAGGTGCCCGAGGAGCCTGGCTGCCTTCCAGAGCAGCTGACTTTGTTTTTCTCGGGCTAAAAAAAGGCAGCGCTGGAGCGTGAGCGTGGCTCAGCAGCATCGATTCAGCCTCGGTAACAATGGAGGGGGCAGAAACGGGTTTTCTTCTCATTTGTAAGAATTTGACAACATAAGCTATAGTAAGTCTATAGGAGTGACCTAAAATATAATATATATATTGCTGTTATGACCATCCTATTCCACCAAAATATCTTTTCTTTAAAAAATATATATATATTTTATTGATTTTGTACAGAGAGGAAGGGAGAGAGATACAGAGTTAGAAACATCGATGAGAGAGAGTCATCGATCAGCTGCCTCTTGCGCACCCCCTACTGGGGATGTGCCCACAATCAAGGTACATGCCCTTGACCGGAATCGAACCCGGGACCCTTCAGTCCCCAAGCCGACGCTCTATCCATTGAGCCAAACCGGTATTGACCAAAACATTTTTTTTTTTTTAAAGCAATTCAGTTGCCTTTCTCTTGCCACTTTATTTTCTTTTTTAAAATTTTTTATTGATTGATTTTTAGAGAGAGGGGAGGGGTAGAGAAACATCGATTTGTTCCACTTATCTATACACCTATGAATTGATTCTTGTATGTGCCCTGAGAGGGATTGAACCTGCAATCTTGGTATATGGGAATGGCATTCAAACTACCTGAGCTACTTGACCAGGGCCCACCAAAACTTCTTTTAATAAGAATTTGCAGGAGAGGTGATGACACATGGGAAGCCCTTTCTGTTAGAATAGCTGGCCATGCTGAAACCGGTTTGGCTCAGTGGATAGAGCGTCAGCCTGCGGACTGAAAGGTCCCGGGTTCGATTCCAGTCAAAGGCATGTACCTTGGTTGTGGACACATCCCCAGTGGGAGGTGTGCAGGAGGCAGCTGATCGATGTTTCTCTCTCATCGATGTTTCTAACTCTGTATCTCTCTCCCTTCCTCTCTGTATAAAATCAATAAAATATGTTAAAAAAAAAAAAAAAAAAAAAAGAATAGCTGGCCATTACTCAGGGAGCAAAGGTAGATGTGGATTGTCCAGTGTTACCCAGCATTTAAATTATTTAGTTAAAAGAGGTAGAAAAAGTGAGTTGTAATAGACCAGGAAGAAGGAAATGGCTGTTTTTAAAAAATTAATCTTTATTGTTGAAAGTAGTACAAGTGACCCATTTTTCCCCACATTGACCCCTTCTAAGAAAATGACTCTTGAATGAGAACCTCAAACAGTATTGAGCTATGATGAAAGATGGGGCCATTCAGGGTCGGTTTTATTGAGCCTGGAAGAGTCAGGGCTGCTCACAGCTGGGGATGGGCCATCAGTCACCCTAGATGAACTCAGGTTATTTCCCCAGGAATAGCAATCGATTGAGGATTTATTCTGAAAGCAGCTAGCTGTCCTGGACAGGAATTCCACTTGCAATCTTGGCTTCATCAGCTTCCCTGATAATTGAAAGAGTTGATGGGTACTGATGACCATTTCTCTTCAGCCCTCTCTTCTGCTGAAACCCCGCCAAGGGTTATTACCTAACTAGGAAATTACAAAACTAGGAAATAGGTACAAGTCCAGGGAAGATACATTATTACACCATAACTCTAAGTGTAATCTTGTCTGGAAGGACAATGACTCTGTCAACTAAGAGAATGAAGGTCCTGAGTGTTTCTTCTTTGGGATCATGAAACCAGGAGTTGTGATGGTGGTTAGGAGAAGTAGGAAGTAACTTTTTTTCTCATTGATTCTAGAGGGAGAAGAAGGGAGAGAGAGAGAGAGAAACATCAGTGTGTGAGAGAGATATCAATTGGTATGTGCCCTGACCAGGCTTTGAAACTGTGACCCTTCAGTGCATGAGCAACACTCTAACCAACTGAGCCACACTTGCCAGGGCAAGGAGGAAATTCAGTTACATCACAATTACTAAATATCCAGGGCAGTACATAATTTTGTGGGGTAAAGGAAAAGTATTCCTTCTTAGAAATGGGAACATATGAGTTGGGACCTGTTAGGGACCAGGCCAAAGAAAGTCCTCCAGTTAGTTGGAGGCATTGATGAGCAAGATAGAAGTTAGGTCAGAAGAGAACCTTCCTAGGGAAGATAGTTGAAGTCAGTGGAGCCATGGATCATGGCATGAAGCTGGTGTCCTAAATGAAGCCAGAATGATCAAGTTCAAAAGTCTTCAGAGTTCAAGAGAATTTAGATGGAAACATTCTAATACCATTTATAACAATCATAAAGATGGTGTACAGCCCATTAAGTAAGGGAAACACACTGGGTTATAAAGTTTAAACAGTTTTTGGCATTGCAGGACTTCTCAGACCCTTTACTATCCTAACATACATTGTGAATCTCCAAAAGGAAGCTGTATCATGAAACATTTACTGTACTTATTTGTCCCTGCGACCTTGGATTTCTCAAAGCCAGTCTTCTAAAACTTCGGGGAGCTCCAGAAGCTTCTCTGAGGGTCAGAGCCATGATTTGCTCAGTAACCAGGCCAGTGGGTCAATTAT